AAGTACTCCTATTAATAATGACTTTATATTTATTATAAGGTGTTTAATGGGGATAAATATAAAAAGATAGGATTAGTCTAAAAGTAGGTAACTACTTTATTAGGGTTGAGATTCGATTAAAAATACCTTATTTTTTTAAACAGAGGAAGTAATAATTACAGGTGCATTTCAATTCACCTGACAAAACAAGAGGACTTAAGGTTTGGGAGGTGAAGGTCATTGGCTCAAACAAGAAAGACTGAGCATCAAGACATCCAAGATGCTAGTAAGTATCGTATGGATTTTATACAATACTCCTTCCTTAGGTGAAATTCCACCCTCTTGCAATGATCATTCTCATACGTATATCACATCAAAGCACAGTCACTAAAACATGTCTAGTTCATAACTAGCCACTGATATTTAATTTCCAACTTGAAAACTAATTTCACAACCATAAATATAAAAATATAGGGGTTTTGGCATAAAATCAATCATTCAAACATGTCCCACTTTATATAGATTTCCAAATCTCAAATAAACATTTGCATTAACGCTCTACTAATTAAAAACAATATAATATGATTTCACAAACTCACAACCATCCAAACTAGTAAATAAAAAGATTAGATTATCTGATTACCTCAACCTTTTTATCACAAAAGGGTTACCCATGACAATCAACTATTCCCTTAGCCTCTACTAGCTCAAAAGTGTACGATCAATAATTAATGTATAATATATGAAATACTAATGATTAATTTTCAACTCTAATAAACACCCTATTAGGCTAAGTTAGGTTACCCACACTGTCCAAAATTTGTCATTAGCCTAACAACATTCCATCCACAATCCACTAGCTCTATTTAACATCATAAACATAGATAACACTAAATTACAACCCACATTACCAATAAACCTCCACTTCAAACTTAGGGTTCATCCAAACCCTAGTCCAAGAATCCAAATCACTATAAAATTATTAAGTTTAGGTATAAAAACTTAAATTAACTCCCAATGGTTCAATCTAAGCCAATGGGCTCGTCCATAACACCCTTATAATAGAAGTCAATTCCCACAACACCACTCAACACTGAAAATGCATGGAGAAGGTAGATGAGATGTAGGAGAGATTTACCCGATTTGAATTAAGCTCAAAATACTGCCAAAATGGCATTAAAGTCAAACCCTAGTAGAGACAAGGTGAGCTCCTTTGATTTTTCTTTTCTTCCTTTCTCTCGTTTGTGTCTCTTCTGTGCCCAATTTAATGAAAATTAGGTTTGTCTGTCGTGACACTAGGCCTCAAGTTTTTGGGTCCTCTCTTAGACCTGATCACCTAAACATCATTCTAGTCCCCTTCTAAGGTTGTCCATGGTTCCAACAAGTATATTAGTAATATGAAAACACTATTAATTTATTAAATGGGTTATTTGACTAATTTGCCCCCATTAAATCTAGGAAATTCAATTTTTTTGAAATTGAGATGTTACAAGTTGCCTTTCTTACCCATGCCCATTCGCCTTGCGAGGGGATAGAAGAGGAAAAACACTTTTGGAAACCATCCTTAGATCGTTGTTTTATTGTTAAATCTACATATATTTTTTTGTCTATAGGTAGTAGGAGGAACTCAAATAGCATTTGGAATATGATTTGGAGATGTCTTGTTGTGAAAAAAATGAAATCATTCATGTGGTTATTCACACATAAAAGAGCGCATACAGCGAAACTGAGTCAAAGGAGGGGTCTGGTGATAGATCAAAAATATACACTCGAAGACTCCATGCATTTGATTTAGGATTGTACACATGCCACTGAAAGATGGAGAATTGTTATTCGAGAATATCTTTGGAACACCTTTGCTAACCTCTCTGGGGTAGAGTGGATTAGATGGAACCTCACACGTGAAGCGGGATGTGGTTTTACTAAGAAGGTGAATTGGGATACTTTGTTTGGTTATATGTGTTGGGATATGCGGGTAGCTATGTGTAGGAAAGCTTTTCATGGTGACAATGATAACTTCCATCACATGGCCATGACTACTTTCTCTAGAGCTTGCTCGGATGCTGATCTCATTAGGTTAGCACCCTTTTTAAGTTATGACAGTAAGCTTGTTAAGATCAGATGACCCAAACGAATCTGAATGCGATTAAGCTTGATGTGGATTGGCCTGTGAGATCAAATGATAGTATTGATTGTGGGGGTGTTATTTGGGATAAAAATGGGAATTGGATCAAGGGGTTTAGTTGTAAACTTGTTAACTTGCCTCCTGTGATTGTGGAGATTCTTGCGATTACCCATGGTCTTTATTTGTGTTGGGATCTTGGATTCAAGGATATTAATATGTTTAGTCATTGTATCAACGCCATCCAGTTCCTTCAATATGGTTGCGATATTTTTCGTCCCAAATATATATATATATATATATATACATATATGGTTGCGATATCAGTCACCTGCCAGATTTCTTCTTCATAGGGATTGGAATGTAACTATTAATCATTTTAGAAGGGATTGTAATTATTTTGCTGATAGCATTCCTTTTGTTGACTCTTTTCATTTGTAATCTCTTTTGATTAATATATGTATTTCTTCAGTCAAACAAAAAAGATGGATCTAGGAGATATTATGTCCCGCCGTTGGAATTTATTCCTTGAGCTAAGAGAACCCCCCCAAAAAAAAAAAGGAGAATTGCATATAAGTTCCTTGGAAGGAACACAATTGCGAAGAAGGCTCAACAGAATTTGGAATTTTTCTATAAGCCCAAAAGATCCAAGTGAAATCATGTTTTGGTTAGAAGTAAAAAAAAAAAATGCCCCTAATTTTCACGGATGCCCTTTTGAATGTTAAAATTCCCGGAAAACTGAATTTATAAAATATTTATAATTTGATTTACAAAAAAGTTGAATGGATTACAAGTTAACACTAGACATGATAAGTAATAATGAACATATACTCGTCAATATCAGAACCTGTAGTTGATAACATAATATTGAAGATAACGTATAAAAATTATTTTAAAGGATTAAATATTTCAACGGATATAACAACAGAACATATAATTGTTAAATTTTAAAATCTAAATACATAGTTGATAATATTTTTTTTTTTGACAATTTGTAATACAGAGTATGAAATAACCATATATTTGCTTGTTAAAATTTAAAGATGTATCTGTGAATTACTGCCATTTAGTTGTCAAACTCTAAAAATGACTCCATCTAGAGCACATTAATGTAAGGCATTCTATTAATACTACTTTACAGTTTTCAAGAAAAGTTAAGTGAAACCTTAAACTTAAAAAAAAAAACATCTTTTCAATTATACCTTTATTAAATAGCTTACATATGTGTCTTAATAATGACAATTGAAATTTAAATGCACATTTTTTCCTAAAAAAAATAAAGCACGAGTATAGTTGAAAAGAAATTATAAAAATTACTAGTGTGCTATAATTTAGATTAGACTAGACTTTTGAAAAATACCTTATATTGTGATTCAGGACCTAATTAATTATCAAGTAAATATCAAGATATTGACACCTTTGAAATACCTTATATGAATTTTCTATGATGTTATCAACTACAAGTTTTGATATTAATAATTTTATGTCTAGAACTTCTTATTATCTCTAGTGTGAACTTGAAATCCATTTAATCTTTTTTTTTTGTAAGCCAAGTTATAAACATAAATACATGGGAATAACAAAAATTACGACACTCATTGAATCAATGAATTTAGGCCACATATGAGATTCAAATCCTTATTAATTTTTAGTTCCGGTAAAAAAATACATAGAACATGGGAATAACAAAAATTATGGCAAACATTTTAGCAAATTCGTGGTTAAGAAAGCCATGTTTAGTTAGTGTTTTGACAGGCCCAAGTCGGGGAACTTGTTTCTCCCATAAATCGCGTCAGGGCAAGCAGAGAGTAAAGGCATGAAAAGCAATGGCAAATTACGAGTTGTTGTGATTTCAGAGTAAGTCAAGGCCATTATTCATGAAGTTTGGTCTTCTGCATATTGCAAATGGAAAATCTCCACCTGGCCAAAATAAAGCAAACTAGGCTTGGACGAGCTGCTGGTATTACTATCCAATCAAAAAAGCAAGTCTCACCCTCTTAGCTTGCTCAAAAAGTCTGCTTATCTTGCTAATAAATTGAATTCCTTTTGACTATTCTTCTCACTTCGCTTCAAAAATCTCTGCCCATGATTATGCCTCAACAAACTTTCTTTGAAAACACGATGGATTCCATAGACCAGTGGGATGCTCTCACCCTTCTGTTTCTTGCTTTCTGGAGCATTTTCTTTCATGGAGCTTATATTCCATGAACTAAAGGGGGGGAAAAAAAGAAAAAGACAAATTGCGCATGCATTGGTCAATGGAAAATCTCCGCAGGCAAAATAAAATATACTGGCCAGTTGGACGAGTAGACGGTATTACTATTATTAAATACTAATCAACAGATTAAAGTAGCCTCACCCTCTAGCTCAAAAAGTCTAGCTACAACAACCATCTTTCTCTCAAAACCTAATGGAGTCCATAAACCAGTGAGAGATGCTCTCTTGGTTAGTCGCTTCTAATGTATCCTTTTTTAATACTCTTTATAATGCTTTAATTTTTTAATTTTATTTTTTATATTTTTTTAAATTATTTATTTTTATATAAAATAATAAACATTTGGATATCTTAATAAAAAATAAATAGTAAAGATTTGCATTTTGTATGATTTTTAAATACACCCTTTTATTTTTTAAAAATTATAAAAAAATATAAATCTTTATCATTTTAATACATCAAAATATTTAAATATCTCTTATTTTATTTAGAAGTCAAATGATTTAAGTAAAAATAAAAAATAAAAATTTAAAATATTATAAGGAGTATTAAAAAAGCGCACGTTAAATTTTTCTAACCCTGCTCTCAGCCTTCTGTTTCTCGAAAGAGTGGTTGATATTTCAAATCAATCAAATCAGCTTGCCATTTGTAATGGATTATAAATTAAATCAGCCACATTATGAACCTCACACGTTTATAATAGACAAAGTCCTTACATCCTTCTTGCTTCAGATTAAATATCTCAGTATCGATCCGATGATGACTCTACCAACTTACTTCCAGAACCTCACGGATTTCATAAACCAGTGGGATTCTCTCACCCTTCTGTTTCTTGCTCTCTGGAGCATTTTCTCAGTTACTTGGTACGTATGCATCTTCTTCATCAAACTTAATGCTAACCTACCCCCAGGTCCGCCAGGCCTTCCCATATTCGGCAATCTTCTATCTCTCGATCCCAATCTTCACTCCTACTTCGCTTCTCTTTCTCAAACCTATGGTCCGATCTTCTCGCTTCGGCTCGGATCCAAACACGGTGTCGTCATCACCTCCCCTTCAATGGCACGGCAAGTTCTCAAAGACCAGGACGTCATTTTCGCCAATCGTGACGTCCCTGTCGCCGGCAGGGTGATCACCTATGATGGATGCGACGTAGTTTTTTCCTCTTATGGATCGAAGTGGCGAATGTTGAGAAAAGTGCTTGTGCAATGGATGTCCAGAAACACCACCATGGATTTCGTCTATGAGCTCCGTCGCGAGGAGGTCCGCAAGACTGTGGCTTATCTATATAATCGGGTCGGGTCACCGGTGGATGTTGGGGAGGAGATGTTTCTGACAGTGCTGAACACGAGCACACATACGATTTTGGGTCAGACCGGGGAAGGGGATGAAGGGACTGAAATGGGATTAGAGTTCAGGGAAGTGATGACGCTTATCATGGAGCTAATTGGGAAACCTAACCTCTCAGACTTCTTTCCTTGCTTGGCTTGGTTTGATTTGCAAGGTGTGGAGAAACAAATGCGCATGGTGCTCCAGCGGTTCGATCATATCTTCGAGAAGATAATTAAGCAGCGGTTGAAGAAGAAGCAGCAGCAGCTTATCAATGGAAGCGAAGCGGAAGGAAGTAAGGACTTCTTGGAGTTCTTATTGAAAATGAAAGATGAAACAGATTCTATGACGCCACTCAGCATGGCAAACATCAAGGCCCTCCTGGTGGTATGATCTTTCTTTTAACCTTCAATTTTTTTTTTTTTGAGGAAAAATTGATCCAAAAAAATACCTAAATTAATTGATTCATTCAATTATAACTGTATATTTTCAAAATAATTTGTATTCAGACAATGTCTTAACAAATTTGTTTCTTTTAAATTAGAACCTATCCCTGGAATTTAACTTGGTGAATATAATATTAGTTCCTCAAATTTTAGCCTTTTAATTCATTGATCGTTCATTAGTCTCTGTTATAATTTAGTTCTTGAAAGCTTAGATATATATATATATATATATATATTGAAAATGAGTGAGTTGTAAAAGTTAAACTTTAAAAATTGAATTATAATTGAGTCAAAATTATAAATATTAAATAATTTATTTTTTAATAATTTTTTCTTATACTTTTCAAAAGATTAACCAAGTAACTAGAAGTTCAGCATATAGTCAATCCATGGTTGTAGGCTGACCTGTGACTAGCTGCAAGTTGATGGTGTAAGTTGAAAAGGCTCGCTTTTTGGTGGGTTAGAATTTTTTCAACTTAGCCCGTGAGCTCAATCCATATTATTGGCTTTACAATTAACTCAAATAAAAAAATTATTGAATTATTAATTATTGATATTTATTAATCACTTTAATATGTGCAGGATATGGTGATAGGTGGGACCGACACATCCTCTAATACAATTGAATTCGCAATGGCTCATTTAATAAATGAGCCAAAGGTGATGAAAAGAGTTCAAGAAGAATTAGATAGCATAGTGGGAAAGAATAACATGGTTGAAGAATCACATATACAAAAGCTACCATATTTGCTTGCTGTCATGAAAGAAGTTCTAAGGTTACACCCCGTTGTTCCTCTTTTAGTTCCTCATTGTCCAAGTGAAACCACAAGTGTGGGAGGCTATGCAATCCCAAAAGGCTCTCGTGTGTTTGTGAACGTGTGGGCAATACATAGAGACCCATCCATTTGGGACAATCCTCTAGACTTTGATCCTACAAGGTTCTTGGATGCTCAATATGATTACAAAGGGAGTGATTTTAGTTATTTACCATTTGGTTTTGGACGAAGAGCATGTGCAGGAAGATCTGTGGCAGAAAGGACCTTTCTGTATTGTGTTGCAACACTGATACATTTATTTGATTGGAAAGTACCACAAGACCAAAAGTTGGATATATCAGAGAAGTTTAGTATCGCACTGAAAAAGAAAACGCCTCTAATTGCCATCCCCACGCCACGATTTTCCAACCCAGCTCTCTATGATTAGAAAATGCATAGTTACTAGCTAGTTGAAGGTAATTTAATTCCGGACTGTACTGTGGCCAATCCGTTAAAAGAATTTGAGTTTTTTTTTTTTTTGGTAATTTTCTGTCAAGAATGCAGTACTCTTGTTGGGAAGAAGGAGGTGCAAATGTACCAGCATTTACATTAATTGTAATAGTGTATGGTACAAATAGGGGAACAGCTTGTTCAATTGCTTCTAGTGATCTAGTCACATGGCACAAATCGCTTTCCATGATTATTACGAAATAAACTATACATCCATTAAATTTGAATAAATTTGTTTAATTCATCAATTTAATTTCTCAAATTTAGTTTTTATCAATTTAATCTTTTAAATTTAATTTAATTATCGATTTGATCCTTTGAATTTGTCACAATTTTCCATAACATGCTCAAATTTAATGTAATTGCCTTTTCATTTGTATATTATTGACCATGGCCTCGTAATTAAAAAAACAAGATGAGGTAATGCTGTTAAATTTTGTGGATATGGATAACAAAATATTGAGTTGATAGTTATATAAATTAATGAAAATAAATTTAATTATCTAGGTAAAAATATAAACTCAAAATTTCAATAACGTAAATGAATAAAACACTACATAAAAAAATATATTAATAAAAATTAAACTGATTTGAGCGCCAATTTACTCTTATTTAGTCAACTACACATGCCATGTTATTAACATATTTTCTACATTAAATTAATTTAAGAGTCAATTTTTGTTCAACTTTTTTTATTCATTAAATATTATTAATCATACTTTGATAAAATTTAAATGTTTGAAAGGAAATACAATTTTTGATGAGTTGGTTTTTTGTATAACTACATCTAATATCATACCAATCCAAATTGAGCAATGTTTTAATGTTTTTTCAGTCATGATGGGCCATTTGTTGCTAGTATGATAGTAGCTGTGCGCTTTAAGTTACTGGGGAGAATGACAATTAAGTAGCCTCTAGGGTTATTAATTTTAATTGAAGACCATAAAATATTAAATTTCAATTAAGGATCATGGTCCTTATTTAAAATTTTAAAAAATGTGATTTGTCTTAAACCCCAAGAAAAAAATTACAAAGTGAAGTTAGTAAATTCTCAACTCACTTTTGTATATTCATAAATGACCCTAGAATGTTTCAAAAATACGTATCTTTCACACTGAGAAACAATCTATTCCCAAATATGATTTCTTATTTTTCAATTGGCATTAACAATATTTTCATGTCATGATAATGATTTCAGCAGTGTTATCTCTTTATTTTTCAAGTAGTCTAACTATATATTAACAAGCAAGAAATTTGATAAGTCATTGGGTTCATACTCCTGAGTGAAGTTATTAAATTTTTGAGTCACTTTTGTATATTTATAAGTGACCTGAAAATGTTTTAGAAGTTTGTTTCTTTCATACTAGGAAAAATTTTATTTTCAAGTGCGGTTCCTTATTTTTCCAACTGACATTAACAATATTCCCTTGCTACGACATTGATTTTAGCAGTGTTATATATATCTTAGTGTCCAGTAGATGGCAATCTTGTAAACTTATGTATGTTTTTTATTTCAAGTGAGGACTATAGTCTTTAATTAAAATTTTAATATTTTATTGTCCTTAATTAAAATTAATAACTTTAAGGGGTCCTTAATTGTCATTTTTCTAAGTTGCTATTATGCATTCATCTTCATTTAGAAAAGAAAGGATGTGGTCCTATCTTCATTCCTTTTCTCATTTTCTTCTCATCTTATCTTCATCCATTGGATTAAAAATTTAACAGCCTGAAATTTATTCAAGTTTATTTATTTAATATATTGATGGCGTACAGTTTGTAGTTGTGAGCTGCTTAGTTAAAATTCAAGAAAAAAAAAAGTCTAGTTAAAAGAATATAAAAAACACAAAGTTGCAACATTTTCAGCCTTGATATAAAGTTGCAACTTCATGAGGTAAATCTTCGAAGGTTGATGTATCTGGTTAACTCTCTTTTCTTTCATGATAATTAACACTTTATTCCAATGGTACGTGTAGCCTTACTAACAAGAAATTTAATCAAATTATACCGGGACAGACAACTTACGCCGGTATAGTCCTGCAGTCTTACTTTTATCCTTATACGGATACAATTATGTACTAAGGTATAAACTCACTGTTGGGGTATAACCTTATTATTTGGGTACAGCTCCATTCCAAAAACCGTCTTTTACATAAAGCTATTCTGGTACATTTTCTTTATACCTGTATAGTGTCTAGCACTTCTTCATTAATATGTTCTTGCTTATACCGGTACAAAGTAGCCTATTTCGGTATAGCTATGAAGTTTTCTGCTATGCTTTTCGATCCCAGTATCTGTGCAATTCAAAGCTTACTCTTTATTCATTTCTTTCACAATCTGAGGGTTGGGCTTTCTTTTTCATCTATATTAAATACTTTCTCGGGTTAGATTAAACACTTATTAATTCTTTGATTATTCTTTGCACACCCATATAGCATTTGGCTCGTACAATATAATTTTACTTACCTTTTGTTAGAGTATTAAATGTATATGATTGTTGCTTTCCTTAAGTTATCAAAAACACACAACTCTGCACATAAAACACTATTTTATTGCTTCATTCTCAAAGAAAAGTAGAAGGAAAGAAGAATCACCCTCCAACAACTGACTTCATAAGTCTAATGAATTATTCTCAATATCAACTATAAATATGACTCATTTATGAAGCAAACACAAAGAAGTTATTGTTCAACCATACGCATTTATTTCTAACCAACTTCCTACTCCAATATTCATTGTTTGTAAGTTTCATTGATTGTAAATTTACTCTTTGAGAGAGATTTTAACAGTAGTAATTTATTTTTAAACTTACTCTTTTTATTCCTATTTTTTATATCTAAAATAGAAGAATTTAAACTCAGAGAGTTTAATGGGATTTGTGATTAACTTTGTAAGGGGAAAGCTATAGACTTGAGTAGAAGTGCAGAATTGTATTAAGGCAACTAAGAGCCCGGCTTAATTTTGGTGAAGTTAGTGAAAAAAATCTCAAATATGACATGGGGATTGCACATAAGCACAAGTGATTAGAGCTAAACTAGGATAAATACTCACCTAAAAGCTTCTCTTCCTTTCTCTATCCTTGATTGGTAATATCATTTCTTACTTATATTTTAACTCTTACATAATTTGCTTTAAATTTTATTTAGCCTAATCTCTTCTTGGGCGGTTTTACAGAGTAGTTTCCGGGTGATGAGATCACTCACACTTGGGGGTCCAACAACCAAAATAGCACTTAGATGAAGGGGCACAGGCTCGCAGTCCAAGGTAACAAAATTTTATTTACGTAGTTTAAATTTACTAATTTAGTTATGTAAATAATTAAATTGATAAAAGTACAAAGCTCTTTTTGGAATGTTAGATATTAAAAAATATCGGGTAAAGTAGCAAATTTGGACACAAACTATTTTTCGAGGAGCATATGGTAGCCTAAGCTATCAAATGATGCAAAATAAATCACGAACTTTTAAAAACAAAGCATCCAGTAGTCCATCGTTAACTTAAGCTAACAGACATTATATGAGGCCCACAATGACACGTGACACGACATGACACGTTAGCATGGTAAAGGTGCAAATTTAGCCACAAACTATTTTCTTAGGACCGCTAGGTAGTCTTTACTATAAAAAAATGATCCAACACATTTCCCTCAATTTTGACCAAACACCATTTATTTTATACTTATAAGGCCCATAAAACAATAATCTCTCCAACCTTCTTGCCTTCGTTTTCAACATAAGCTCCAGAAGAAGAGATTCAATTAATTTTTATTTGAAGACATTTGCATGGATGATGCCAATGAAGTAGAAGCTTGATTTTACTATGCATGAGAAAAGCAGGATTCTAGCTTAATTTAATCATGAATTATTTCTTCTACTTTGTTAGCATCGTCTTCGTGAATATCTTTAAATAAGAACTCTTTGAACCTCTTCTTCTTGAGTTGAGATTGAGAACGAAGGTAAGAAGATGAGAGATTAATATTTTGTAGGTCTCATAAGTATGAAAATAAATTGTGTTTGGTCAAAATTAAGGAAAAAGTGTTGAATGATTCATTTTTTTATAGTAGAGGCTATTCAGCACTCCTCGAAAAATAGCTTGTGGCTAAATTTGTACCTTTACCATGTTGACATATCGTGCCTGTGTCGTGCCACGTATCATTGTGAGCCCCACATAATGTCCGTTAGCTTAAGTTAACGAGGGGCTACTGATGCTCCATTTTTTAAAGTACATAATTTATTTTACACCATCTAATAGTTTATGCTACCAAATGCTCCTCGAAAAATAGTTTGTAACTAAATTTACACCTTTACCCAAAAATGTAAGGCATATTTAGTATTTCAAGGTGTAATCATTATGTTTTTTCTTAAAGTGCCCATAATAAATAAATTATTTTATATTTATATTAGGCTAAAATGCATAAAATCCTTTTGAACTTTGAGACAGTTGTATAAAACATTTCTCATCTTTAATAATTTAAAATTAACCCTCTAACCTTTAATTTTATTTTTGAAAACCCCCTATTGTTAATTATATTATTTTTGTCATGAAGGTTAAAATGTTATTCAATTAAAAAATATTATTAAACAAGATATTATATTGTAGACCTATAGCTAATTAATTTTTTATATTTTTTAAATAGTTGGGGCATTGATAATAGCCAAAATAAATGTTATTATCACCATATGGAATTTTAAATATTTACTTTTGTGTTAGTTTTATCTTCTTTTTTTGGTTATCAATGGTGCATAATTTTCTAGTATTAAAAGATAAATTAATCTAACATGATAATATTTAAAATCTTAAATATTTTAGTCATGTGCTTTACATTAATCTAACATGGAAATATAAATAAAAATTTATCTTTTAAAACAATAAAATTAACAAAAAAACATGGAAAGAACTAATATAAACATAAATATTTAAAATATTATGCAGTGATAATAATATTTTTTTTTATCAATGCATCAACTATTCAAAAAATATAATAAATTTATTCTAAATAGTTATACAATACTCCCTTCATTAAAAAATATAAGATATTTTTAACTGAATCTCACTCTCAATAAAGTAGTTATCTACTTTCAAACTAACTCTATTTTTTTATATTTATCTCTATTAAACATCCTACAATAAATATAAAGTCACTGTCAATAGGGATAA